CCTCTCCTCTCCCCCCAGGTCCCCTCTCCTCTCTCCCCTCCCCTCTTCTCTTCTCTTCTGTTCCCTTCCCTTCTTCTCTTCTCTTCTCCTCTCCCCCCAGGTCCCCTCTCCTCTCTCCCCTTCCCTTCCCTTCCCTCCTCTTCTCTTCTCTTCTCTTCTCTTCTCCTCTTCCCTTCCCTTCCCTTCTCCTCCTCTCTTCTCTTCTCTTCTCTTCTCTTCCCCTCTCCTCTCCTCTCTTCTTCCCTGGCTTCCAGCCAGCTTTCAAAATACACACACACACATATACAAACACAAATAAACACACCCCTTCAAACTCACTTAGGATCCTGGCATGACAGCCACCCACCCCTTGGCTTTAACAGCTGATGGGTTCCAGCCTCTTGAAACTGACCGTCCCCACAAATATACCATTTAATCTGCTGGTTAGTTTGTAGTTGACATGTTTGTTTTCTGGCATAGGGTGTTGTGTGACTGGAGCATTTGGCTAGCAAAGGCTTATTGTGTCTCTCCAAGTAATGAGTTAATGTAATAACCAAGTTAACTATATCGGGCAAATATGCGTGATTATCCGTGGGCGAAGAAACTTCAAACCTCCAAAAATGCTTTTGGTACAAAAGCCACGCATATTTCTCAACAAAAATCCTTTCCAAAACAGTCTCCAATTTGGCACCGGAGTTGGGAGAGGGGTTGTGCCTTCAACTGTTGCCAGGAGTGCTCGTTAGGGAAATTTGTAGCTGTCGCAGACTCAATACTGCAACAAAATCTTTGCTAATCTTGATTTAAAAAAACAAACAAACAACAATAACTAAAAGTCTGCTCGGCATCGTGAACTTGGTTCAGCGTATTTAATTTTATCTCACATTTTGCAGACCAATTGCCCCTTTAAAAAAAAACAAAACCCCTGAAACCTTTCACTATCAAACTACAACAGGGGTCTTCAAACTTGGCCCTTTTGTGACTTGTGGAGTTCAGCTCCCAGAATTCCTCAGCCAGGCACGCTGGCGGAGGAATTCTGGGAATTGAAGTCCACAAGTCATAAAAGGGCCACATTTGAAGATCCCCCCTGAACTACAAGAATAAAAGGCGTTTGTTTTTTGCTTCCTTGATGCAGAACCTATTGGCTGGGACACCATCTTTTTTGTGGTAGGAAAGGATAATGTTGTGAGTTTTTGTGATATCCAGGTGAAGCCCAGATGGCCTGCAGCCTTTTGCACCCTGGCCCTACCCCTGAATTTGGAGACAGTGCAGCAGCATCTGGGGCAGATTAGAAAAGTCTGGAGTGCAGTTACAACACACATAGGAAGGGGCAGGCCTTTGACAACACAGGTGTGCCCATATTCTTGCTTTTACCTCTGTCCTGGGGGGGGGAGGGGGCACCCCAGCTTCCAAGGGCTTCACCTTGCTAAAGGGAAGGAAGCAGGCCTGTTCGTGCATTTTAAAATTCTGCCTGGGCCTCAGCGTTGCCTTGAGCTACGTGCAACTCATTTGCACGTCAACGATTAAGTAACGGCTAAAAGGAACATCTCTTTCCTCGTTGTAAAATGAAATAAAATCCACCCCTGAGCACAAACTGCATTCTGCACACTCAATACTTGTTGGAGCCAAATCCCTCCTTTTGTGCAGGTTTCTCTGCCACACTCGCTGCTGTGCCAAAATTCTGCCAGGGCTAGGAGGAGGAAGCCCAGTGGCGGACAATCTCCAGTGATTGCTGGAGACTTTCAGATTTGCGATTTTTATAGGTTTGTCTTTGTAGGGAGCGAAAATTGTCAGAAAGGTGCCTAGCAAAGTAATTTTTAAGGCTTTTCTCCCCGGCTGCAGCCTTCTGACAATAGGTAATAATAATAATAATAATAATAATAATAATAATAATAATAATAATAATAATAATAATAATAATAATAATAGCAGTAGTAGTAGTAGTAGTAGTAGTAGTAGTAGTTAAGTCTGGGGTGTTATCAAACAGACAAGCACCTGCAACATAACCCCCCGGACTTAACAATTGTCCATAAGAAAGACCAAAAAGTCTGGATAGTGGATGTAGCAGTGCCTGGAGACAGCAGAGAAAGAACTGGAGAAGATCACAAAATACAAAGACCTACAAATAGAAATAGAGAGACTGTGGCAAAGGCAAGCAAGGGTAGTACCAATAGTCATAGGCGCCTTGGGTGCAATCCCAAAACAACTGGAGCACCACTTGAACACCATCATTGGCATTGACAAATTCGCCATTAGTCAATTGCAAAAGGCGGTCTTACTAGGAACAGCTTCCATCCTGCGACGAGATCTGTAATACCATCAAACATCCACATCTGCCTATCCCAGGTCCTTGGGAAGGACTCGATAGGTAGACAAAATGCCAAATCCAGTCTGAACATCTGGCTGACTTGCGATGGTCCATAATTATTATTATTATTATTATTATTATTATTATTATTATTATTATTATTATTATTATTATTATTATTATTATTAATAATAATAATAAAGTTGGAAGGGACCTTGGAGGTCATCGAGTCCAACCCCTCCCCGCCTCTTTGCAGCTTGGCTTACTTGTCTTGATCGCCGCTCTCCCTCCCTTCCCTCCGCAGAGAGCGCGAGCGACCCTAAGGAGCGCGTCTCGGCCCCGAGCAGCACCCTGGAGAAAGCGCCGCAGCCGCTGCGCAAAGGGCCAGCGACGGAGACGGAGGAGGCCGGCGAGTACACCGTGCTGAAGGAGAACCCCCCGGGCCCGGCGGACAGCGGCGAGGCGCCCCTGCTCAAGTCCTCGGACAGCGAGCGCTCCTCCTGCGGCTCCGGCTCGGTCAGCGGCGCGCTCTACGCCCGCATCGCGCGCCTCTCCAGGCAGTCCCGGGAGGAGGAGGAGGCCCCGGTGGCAGAGCCCCGGCCGGCCAAGCCCCCCTCCCCGGAGCGGGCCAAGCCGCCCCCGCCGGACCCCTCCACCAAGCCCAAAGTCTCCTGGATCCACCACAAGTACAACGCGGCCCAGAGCAACACCCTGCCGGCCCCGGGTGCGGCCGAGCTGCAGGCGGAGCGCCGGCCCGGCCCCTCCAAGCGCAAGAGGAGCCCCGGTGAGGTGGCACGGGCCAAAGAGAGGGCCCCCCGCCCCCCCCAGGAGCCCGGCAGCCCCGAGGGCCCACCCGGCCCCGCTCAGGCCAGGCAGCGTAGCCGGACCGGACCAGAGCCCGCCGAGAACCTCAACGGTGCCCTGCACTCCGCGCTCAAGAGGATGGGGGGGGCCGGTGTGGAGAGACGGCCAGCCGAGGCGCCCCGGAGCCCCGCGCAGCCCAAGGCACCACCCGGCTTCTCCGCCGAGGCCGCCACACTGCTGGCCGCGCAGCTAAAGGAAAAGACCCAGAGCCTCCAGCGGGGCGAGGCAGGCGCGCGGCCCAACGGCATGAGCCCCCTCCCGGCCCAGCGGGAGAAGCCGGCGCCCCCACAGAAGGCCAGGCAGGCGGGCACCGCCCCAGGGCAGAAGGCCGGCAAGCCGCTGCTGCCCACCTCCGCCCCGCTGCAGAAACTGCTGGGGCCCGGCGACCCCCCTGCCGCCGAACCCAAGAGCGGGGAGAAGCCGGGCGGCAGCGGCGGTGGCAGCCCCGAGGCCATCCCTGCGCCCGGAGACCCCGCCGTCAAGAAGACGCCCATCAAGAAGCCGCCACGCAAGAAGGGCCGGGAGGGGCTCGCAGAGCCGCCCAAGGCAGCCGCCCCCCCTCCGCAGACTGTACAATAGGGGAGGGGGGAGGGAGAAGGAGGACCTGTCCCGGGGCCAGAGGGGTACTCTTCTCCTTCTGGGCCAGTGGAGACCCCACCTCAAAGAGAGCCACGGCCTCCCCCAGGGATGGGTCGGGGGGCTTTCGGGGACCCAGCGCTGGCGCTGGGCTCTGGCAGGGAGGGAGGGGTGGAGGGCTTTCTTGAAACCAGCCTTATAACTGCATAGACCTGCTTCTCGACCTCCTCCGGGAGGGGGACCCTCGCAGGCCTGGGGAAGGGTGCCTTGGGGTGGGTTTGGGGCTGGGCGGGGACTGAGACTGGGCTGCTGGGGGTCAGCGACAGGCAGCCAGCAGACCAGCCTTTTCCTGGGGAGGGGGTAGCTGCATTCACCCCTGGAAAGCCTGGGTGCAGCCGGGACGAAGATGCTACTTAAAGTGGGAGGCAGACTTCACTTTTGGGGTCCCCGATCCCTGGGAAGCGAGGGCAGACCCTGCAGGAAGAGGGTGCAGGGGCTGCTTCCAGCTGACCTGGAGGCTACGATCGGAACAGACCGACCTTGGGCCATTCCCAGCAGACAGGCGGTGAGCTTTGTTTCCCAGGCACCTGGGCTGCCTCTGATGGGTCGCTGGGTGCCTGGAATATTCAACGCAACAGCCTCCATCCTCTTCGCTTGGGAACTGGGGGGGGGGGCATCAGCCAGGAGGCTTTGGAGTCCAGCGTGGCTCCATCCTTCCTCAAATAAAAGGATGATATTTCTAGCTCTTCTTTGTCCTGGTCTTTGGACTCCATTTCCTTTTTTTAAAAAAAACAAACACAAGTTTTATTGTTTTTTTTTCATTTTACAAACAAGTGCTTAAGAAACAACGTGGTGGCAGGGCAATCAATTGTCCACAAAACAAAGTCATATTCATAACAGTTGGAATTAAGTCATTAAAAACCTCCTCTCTTTTCCCTCTAATGATATATTTCAAATTGATAGATTACAATACAACTAAATCAGTGGTTCTCAACCTGTGGGTCGGGACCCCATTTGGGGTCGATCGTCCATTTCACGGGGGTCGCCAAGCAAGGCTGTCCGCCATTTTTTTTGTCCGCCATTTTTTCCCCCTTTTCCGGCGGGTGCCTTACCTCCCTTGGGCTGGGCCAGCTGGTGGTCGGCCTGCTCCGTCTCTGCCGCTTGCCAGCTACGCCTCGGCCGGCGCAGGGGGCGGAACTACGCATGCGCGGCGCTCCCGGGCAGGGAAAATCCTCGACTTACGACCGGTTGGGTAGTCCTCGACTTACGACCGGTTTAGTCCTCGACTTACGACTGGTTTAGTCCTCGACTTACGACCGGTTGGGGTCACGGCATTAAAAAGGTTGAGAACCACTGAACTAAATCAATCATAGCAATCCTCAATAATCTTTCGTCTAAATAAATCTACAAATCCGCATCCTGCATTGAGTTTACCTATTTCACTTACTATGTTCCATATTTCTAATCTAAATACCTAGTTAACACTTCGGGGGTCTCCCCGTAACCTTTTCCCTTAACATATTCACTAAGCATGTATTAATATCATTTCGTCCTTTTTCTTATTCCTCTTCCATTACAAATGACTATCAATTCTAACGAGAAAAGAAAATATGAATTCAAATCAGAAAGGAAGAAAAAAAAAGAACAAAGAAAAGAAAAAACAGAGACAAAACAAAAAAAAAAAGAAAGGGGACTCCTTTTCCTGGTGAACCATTTGCCTCGCCCAAGTCCAGCTTGGATGTCTCAGGGGGGTTTCCTGGGGTCTCCCATGCAAGGATTAACTCAGGCCACCCTGCTCCAGCCCTCAAGGTAGCCGAGGGACTCGGCACCCTAGGACAGTGGTGGCGAACCTATGGCACGCGTGCCAGAGGCGGCACGCGGAGCTCTCTCTGTGGGCACGCGCCATCGCCCCAGCACACGTGGTCTCTAAAAGTTCACCATCACTGGCCTAAGGCCAGCCAGCCTGGAGCCGTCATTGGGGAGCCCACCATCCCACCTGCCAGAGACCCCCTGGATCTCCCCCAACCCTGCCCAGCTCCCACAGGTGTCCCTCCCCATAAGCAACATCGAGGTGGCCATGCCCACCCAATCTGCCATGACTACTGCAGCCACACCCATCCAGTGGCCATGCCCACCCAGTCTGCCAAGCCCACTGTAGCTGCGCCCGCCGAGTGGCCACACCCACCCGGCACCCGGCGATACATAAGTGGGTTTTGGGTTGCAGTTTGGGCACTCGGTCTCTAAAAGCTTTGCCATCAATGCCCTAGGAGAACCCTCTGGCTTGGGGTCAGCACTAGGTTTTGAACCGAATAGAGCTGGAAGGCACCTTGGAGGTCTTCTAGTCCAGCCCCCGGCTCAAGCAGGAGAACCTATACCATCTGAGACAGGTGGCTGTCTAGCCTCTTCTTAAAAACCTCCAGTGATGGAGCGCCCACAATTTTTTTGTCCAGTCCAGTTCTCCAGATCAGCCTTCTTTCTTCTGCTCTCCGGAACCATCCCCCGAATTGCTATCCCGAAGACATTCTTATCAGGACAATGCAAGTCTCAATACATCTGGAAGGTGCCAGGCTGGGGAGGGCTGACCAAGGCCTCTGGCTTCTGGCTAGGTTGGTTGCTGGCCCTTTGTTGGAGAAGACTCCTGCGAGTCCCCTGGACTGCAAGGCGATCCAACCGGTCAGTCCTAGAGGAGATCAACCCCGACTGCTCTTTAGAAGGCCAGATCCTGAAGTGGAAACTCAAGTCCTTTGGCCACCTAATGAGAAGGAAGGACTCCCTGGAGAAGAGCCTGATGCTGGGAAAGATGGAGGGCAAGAGAAGAAGGGGACGACAGAGAATGAGGTGGCTGGATGGAGTCCCTGAAGCAGTAGGCAGGAGCTTAAATGGACTCCAGAAGATGGTAGAGGACAGGAAGGCCTGGAGGAACGTTGTCCATGGGGTCGCGATAGGTCGGACACGACTTCGCAACTAACAACAACAAAGGGCCAGCAACCAACCTAGTCAGAGGCCTGAGGCCTTAGTAAAGCAGGGGTCTTCAAACTCGGCCCTTTTATGACTCATGGACTGGCTGAGGAATTCTGGGAGTTGAAGTCCGTGAGTCCTAAAAGGGCCCAGTCTGAAGACCCCTGCTCTAAAGGAACATTGGGCCAGGAGAATTATGGGAAATTTTTCAAACAGCAACTAGGGAGTGCTCATTGCTGCAGCCAGTGGGCTTGTAGCTGCAGCGGAGTTGGAGGCCTTGAGCGAAACTCATTTTATTTTATACTAGCTGTACCCGGCCACGCGTTGCTGTGGCTCAGTCTGGTAAAAGCGTGTGTTGCTTTTACGTCCAACAGATGGCGCTGTTTTTCAAAAAAAGCATGTTTTACCTGTCACAGGTGTGACATCTATATAATATAGGTATATAGAAACACGCGCGTATTCGAATGCAACGTTGGGTCAAAATTTCAAAGCATTCGGTGAAGAACTTTCGGAGATTTAAGATTTTGAACAAACGAACATTTACCTTTTTATTTATATAGATTTATTTATCTATTATTAGATTTGCATGCTGCCCCATCTAGGTGGTTGCAGCACACTTGGGGCTTCATGGGGAGCGTTGGGTTTTCAGCACCTGCCTTCCCAGCTGGCAAAAGGCACTGCAGCCTCAGGGCCAGTGGGCAGCCGGGCACATCTTCTTCCTCTGCCTGTTGTTTAAGGAGAGGGCCGAGGAATCCGTGCTGAGTTCAGACAATGCCAGGGAGCATCAGTGAACTAAACAACACCGGCAATGCCAGGCCAAAAATGGGGACCTCCAAATGCTGTATAAAATCAAGCCACGACACAAGGAAGAAATTCTCAGTCATCCGGGTCGTGGTTGTCCAAAGGGTGCTTTTGAATTTGAATTTGAATTTGAATTTTTATTATATTTATACCCCGCCCTTCTCCCGGAGGACTCAGGGCGGCTTACAGCCAGTTTAAAAACAACTTAATACAATACAAAATACAAAATTTAAGAAAATGATTAAAAATAAATATTTGAATAGGCCGCTTCTACTACCTTTTGAAAAGGTAACTGGAGTTCTTTGGGGGGGGGGGCATTTCCTTTGAAGATGTTTCGCTTCTCATCCAAGAAGCTTTTTCAGTTCTGAAGAAGTCAGAACCGAAGAAGCTTCTTGGATGAGAAGCGAAACGTCTTGAAAGGGGGAAAAAAACCAAAGTCCAGTTGCCTTTGGACGAGGAACAATATGATTTAAAAACCAATCCAACAGTAAACAGTCCCACCCAATAAAGACAGGGATTTTCCTGTGGTGTTTAATCACCAAAAGACACCCAGAAATGCTGGCTCTTAGCTGCCCTCATTTTTACTAGCACCAGGGCATGTCTCACCTGCCATCGCCAAAGTTCTCTGGATGATTTAAAGTTCATTAAAATATTTAAGTTTCTTTTTTTTTTTGAGGGGGGGGAGAGCAGGCCTTTGCTCACATCAGTGACATGTTATTACTTGGGAAGAAAAACTTACCTCCAAGGCAGAACCAGCGCTTAACCCCAAACTGCAGCAAATGAGCAGAAATGCCTGGGAAAAGAAGGTCCCTTCCATTGGGTGGTTAAAATGCCAAGGGTCAGCTAGGGCCTCTCCCTCACTCCTCTCGGCCACGAATAGGCCAGCCTTGGACCCATCCATGCACGAATAGGCCAGCCTTGGACCCATCCATGCACGAATAGGCCAGCCTTGGACCCATCCATGCACAGCCTCCTCCATGGAGTCCAGGATTCCCCAATCTTGGCAACGTTTAAGACATATGAACCAACTGCCATCATTGCCCAGCCAGCACTGAAGTCCCATATCTTAAGATGCCAAAGTTGGGAAAGTGAGGGAGAGAAGCCAGATCCAACCGGTCAGTCCTGGAGGAGATCAACCCCGACTGCTCCTTAGAAGGCCAGATCCTGAAGTGGAAACTCAAGTACTTTGGCCACCTAATGAGAAGGACTCACTGGAGAAGAGCCCAATGCTGGGAAAGATGGAGGGCAAGAGAAGAAGGGGACGACGGAGAATGGGGTGGCTGGATGGAGTCACTGAAGCAGGAGGCGTGAGCTTAAATGGACTCCAGAAAATGGTAGAGGACAGGAAGGCCTGGAGGAACGTTGTCCATGGGGATGCGATGGGTCGGACACGACTTCGCAATTAACAACAACAACAACAACAACTGTATTTAAGGACAAATAGAAGCTGGATGCAGGTTGGCATTTTGATTGTTTTTTTGGGGGGGATAATGGTTTCAGCTGTTGCCCTTTTGTTCTGCCTGGGTGGGGGGAAGTTGCAGGTGAGCAACTTCCCCCCACCCAGGAAGAAAGAAAGAAAAGAACAGAAAAAACCCTTTAGGCTCTCAGTGGTTGTTGCCAGCCCACACAGTTGACCAGAAGTTTAGGATACTACAGGAAGAAAGTGAATTGGGATTCCCCCCCAGCTGCCTGTTGCACTTTTTTAAGTACATGATGCTGGAGAAGACTCCTGCGAGTCCCCTGGACTGCAAGGCGATCCAACCGGTCAGTCCTGGAGGAGATCAACCCCGACTGCTCTTTAGAAGGCCAGATCCTGAAGTTGAAACTCAAGTCCTTTGGCCACCTCATGAGAAGGAAGGACTGACTGGAGAAGAGCCTGATGCTGGGAAAGATGGAGGGCAAGAGAAGAAGGGGACGACAGAGAATGAGGTGGCTGGATGGAGTCCCTGAAGCAGGAGGCGTGAGCTTAAATGGACTCCAGAAGATGGTAGAGGACGGGAAGGCCTGGAGGAACGTTGTCCATGGGGTCGCGATGGGTTGGACACGACTGTGCAATTAACAAAGTCACAGTGCCCCGGCTCTGGTACCTTAGAGCCGTTGCAGCATCCACACAGGGTCATCAACTTCATCAACTTGTGAGTGCTTGGCCACCATCCTACGTCCTTTGCCATTTGCTGGTTTCTAGCAAGAAAGGCGGGGGGGGGGGGAAGATTCACTTGACAAGTGTGCAATTACAAGTGTGCCCCAGGGCTCTGTTCTGGGCCCAGGGCTCTTCAACATCTTCTTCAACGAGCTTCAATGGACTCCAGAAGATGGTAGAGCACAAGGAAGACCTGGAGGAACGTGGTCCATGGGGTCGCGATGGGTCGGGCACGACTTCGCAACTCACAACAACAACAACAAAGCCATCAGAGGGAACCCGAGTCAGCCATACGGAGGAGGAGGAGGCGGAGGTGCAACTACACCAAGCTTAGGATCGCATCAATCGAGACGCAAAGCTTGCAACCATCGCAAGGAGGAGACTCCGGGCGCCGGAGCAGCAGCACTATGGGCAGCGAAGGGGGGCTAGATGGAAGCCCCCACCCGTCTTGCTTCGCGGAGGGGGGGGGGCGGGGCGAGGGGCGGGGCGTCTGCAAGCTCGCGCGAGAAGCCGCCGCCGCGCTCCGCCCCCCTCCCCGCGTCTTCCTCCCCCCCCCCCGCTATGCATGGCGCGCTTCGGGGCTGCCTTCGCCTTCCCGGGGGGCGAGGCGGGCGGGACCCCGGGCGGAGGGGGAGGAGGCGGCGGCGGCGGCGGCGACCGTCCGACGCGGCAGCAGGCGCGGCACTATCAGCTGCTCTCGGAGCTGCAGGAGCTGGTGAAGGAGCTGCCCAGGTGGGTGGGNGGTAGGTAGGTGGGTGGGTGGGTGGGCGGGGGAGGAGGAAGAGGAAGGGGCTTCGCTCAGGGCAGCAGGACTGGCCGGCGGGCGCTTCTCTCGCTCTGCCCCGGGCTCCAGCCCTGCGACCGTGGGGTTTTCCCCACCTGGTCCGGGGGAGGCCAAGAGGGAGCCACCCAGAAGCCCCCAGGTGGGCCTGGTTTTTTTGGGGGGGGGTCTTAATGCCAGTTTGGCTATCAGGCCGTGTGAAGCCGCCTCTGAAATGGGGGGGGAGGCGGATTTCAGGCCGGGTCCAAGGAAGAGCAACTTCCTAACATGAACTTTTCCAGAAAAGATCTTTGCCCCCCCCCCCGCCCTCATCTCCCCTTCCCCATCTTCCTTTCCCACTCGCCTCCCGCCTCAGGCGCTTTGGAGAAGAGCTTGACTTGCCTCTTCTTTGGGGCAGCCCCTGAGATATTGGAACACTGCTATCATGTCCCCCAGCGTGCCTGGCTGAGGAATTCTAGGAGTTGAAGTCCACAAATCATAAAAGGGCCAAGTTTGAAGACCCCCAATAGAGGGACTCCTGGTTGAGCAGGGGGCTGGACTAGAAGACCTCCAAGGTCCCTTCCAGGTCTATTATTCTGATTTTAGCGGCACAACATTGACAGACTTTGAGTCCAGTCCATTGACTGGAAAGACCAATAAATTTTAAACCAAAACTATTCAGCCTGTCCCATTTAGACCCATTACAATATACACGCTGCATTGTTTTCTGATTGAGAAAGAGAAAAACATCTTTTAAATCAGAAGTAGTCAACCTTGGCTCTTTTATGACTCGTGGACTTCAACTCCCAGAATTCCTGAGCCAGCTAAGCTGGCTCAGGAATTCTGGGAATTGAAGTCCACGAGTCATAAAAGAGCCAAAGTTGACTACCCCTGTTTTAAATTCATTGCTTTCTTCTCCCACTGTTTGAAGTCTCTGTCTTCCACATATGTCTCTGTCGCCTGGCCTTATTTAGTCAGGGAAACTCCTTCTGTTTCCCCCATCGAAGAGGCAGGGCGCTATAAACAGTTGAGAAATGGCAGCGGAAATGGAAAACGGAGAGCAAATTATACTGCAGGCTCTGAAGATGCAAATCTACCTGAGGGGATCCATCTCCTTTTGTGCATCACTGACAAGAAGGGTTTCCTGCTCCTAAAAGATCTCCCAGGTCCCTTCCAACTCTACATTCCTTTATTCCATTCTGCTAAAAAAAGTTTGAAGGCTTGGAAATAAGAGCTGGGGAGGGGCAGGCTTGGACCCAACACAAAATGGTAGTTGGGGGGGGGGCTTCAGTGCAGAAACCTCCCCCCCCCAGCTGTACTCTATTTGCAGGGGTGCAGTGTATTATGTGTCTGCATACAGCCACGGCCTCTGTTGACTGCTGCAAAAACCCAGCTTTCAACAACAACAACAATAATAATAAAGTTGGAAGAGACCTTGGAGGTCATCTAGTCCAACCCCCTGCTCAGGCAGGAAACCCTACACCATTTCGGACAGATGGCTGTCCAGTCTCGTCTTAAAAACTTCCAGTGTTGGCACATTCACCACTTCTGGAGGCAGGTTGTTCCACTGGTTAATTCTTCTGACTGTCAGGAAGTTTCTCCTTAGTTCTAGGTTGCTTCTCTCCTTGCTAGAATAGAGTAGAATAGAATAGAGTAGAGTAGAATGGAATGGAATGGAAACAGGAAGAATAGAATAGAATAGAATAGAATAGAATAGAATAGAATAGAATAGAATAGAATAGAATAGAATAGAATAGAATAGAAAAAAGAATGGAATAGAATAGAATGGAATGGAATAGAATAGAATAGAATAACAAAGTTGGAAGGGACCTTGGAGGTCATCTAGTCCAACCCCCTGCACAGGCAGGAAACCCTACACCATTTCAGACAAATGGCTGTCCAGTCTCTTCTTAAAAACTTCCAGTGTTGGAGCATTTCACCGCTTCTGGAGGCAGGTTGCTTTCAGCATTTTTGACCCAACAAGCAGAAATGCAGAGTCGTGGGGATTGGGCCCGGTTGCATCCAAACCCCTGCTGCAGTCCTTAAAGGCAAGCAGCCTCGCGCTTGGGAGAAAGAGGCCAATCACTGGCCTCTCCTGTGGGAGAGTTTTCCTGGTTGAGATGCCCCCCGTTTAGCGCAGTCCTGATGACAAAGATGTTTCCTCTCACCACCACCACCCCCAGTTCCTCCCAGCAGAGGCTGTCCTACACCATCCTCAGCGACCTGTCCTTGGCCCTCCTGGACGGGACCGTCTTTGAGATCGTGCAAGGCCTGCTGGACATCCAGCATCTGACCGAGCGAAACCTCTACAACCAGCGGCTCAAACTGCAGATGGAGCATCGAGGTACGTGAGCCTCCCGCACAAACGGGCCGCGCCCACCGAGTCTTTGCGCTTCACTAGCGAAGGGTGACGGGCTGCGTCTTGGGGGGGGCTCATTCTGTTTTTCTCCTCCCGCCAGCCCTCAAGCAGGAGGTCCTTCGCAAACACAAGGAAGACCAGCAGAGTTGCCAGCCGCACAATCTTCCCCTCCTGAAGGCCGCTCAGCAGCGAGAGACAGAGGTAAAGGCCGCAGCCGCTAAGGGACCAGTCTTGGTGGGAAGGAACTTATTCCTCTTGGGCTTCAGCCCAGAGTACGGGTCGGCAACCTGCAGCTCCCAGCCTCTTCTGCCATTTGCAGAGAGAGAGAGACAGAGAGAGGCACTTGCACTTCCCTTCTCTCTCAGAGAGAGAGAAAGGGAGGGAGGGAGAGAAAGAGAGGGAGAGGAAAGAGAAAGAGGTAAGGAGAAAGGGAGAGAGAGAAAGAGGGAAAGAAAAAGAGAGAGAGAGGAAAGATAGGGAGAGAGAGAGAGAGGTAGAGAGAGGAAAGAGGGAGAGGAAAGAGAGAAAGAGGTAGGGAGAAAGGGAGAGAGAAAGAGGGAAAGAAAAAGAGAGAGAGAGGAAAGATAGGGAGAGAGAGGTAGAGAGAGGAAAGAGGGAGAGGAAAGAGAGAAAGAGGTAGGGATAAAGGGAGAGAGAAAGGGAAAGAAAAAGGAGAGAGGAAAAATAGGGAGAGAGGAAGAGAGGAAAGAGAGAAAGAGGTAGGGAGAAAGGGAGAGAGGGAAAGAAAAGAGAGAGAGAGGAAAGATAGGGAGAGAGAGAGAGGGAGAGGAAAGAGGGAGAGGAAACGGAGAAAGAGGTAGGGAGAAAGGGAGAGAGAGAAAGGGAAAGAAAAAGGAGAGAGAGAGAGGAAAGATAGGGAGAGAGGAAGAGAGAGGAAAGAGGGAGAGGAAAGAGAGAAAGGTAGGGAGAAAGGGAAAGAGGGAAAGAAAAAGGAGAGAGAGAGAGGAAAGATAGGGAGAGAGAGGAAGAGAGAGGAAAGAGGGAAAGGAAAGAGAAAGAGGTAGGGAGAAAGGGAGAGAGAGCGGGAAAGAAAAAGGAGAGAGAGAGAGAGGAAAGATAGGGAGAGAGAGAGGTAGAGAGAGGAAAGAGGGAGAGGAAAGAGAGAAAGAGGTAGGGAGAAGGAGAGAGAGAAAGAGGGAAAGAAAAAAGGGAGAGAGGAGGAAAGATAGGGAGAAAGAGAGGAAAGAGAGGGAGAGGAAAGAGAGAAAGAGAGAAAGAGAGGACTCATGCACAGCAGCCTCTATTTCTTTTTAATCAAACTCTTCAATCAAGCTCCCCATCCCTTGCGTGCACGAGCGCGTGCACAAGTTTTGATGCTCTCAGTGTTGTCTTTTCTCTGGGAAACGGGTCCAAGTGGCTCTTTGAGTGTTTAAGGTTGCAGACCTCTGGCCCAGAGTAAGATGGATGATTCAGGCCAAAGTCTGCAGAGGTCGCAAGAGGCTTTACAGCACAAGCTTAGTTGGGTTGAAGTGGCCTGTCTAATTCCTAATTCAAACATACTGGCTGCTTCCTCCTCCCTCGATCCTACTTTTAGCACACACAGTGCAGGATGTTGATCTCTGGACCTGGTTGCATCCATGGAGACGTTCCCCTCACAGGTACACCTGGATCCAAATGAGCTTACAACTCTTTTGAGAAGCATTAGAAGGATGGTCTGAATCCAGACCCTGGAGGTTTTTGACCCACCAGCTTTGCGGCTCTGTCTCTTGTTTTATGCCCCTTCAGTGCTTCTGAGCAGGGAAGTGACATCAATGCAGCAAAACCGGTTTCCCAGCATTCCTGGAAGGGCTGGAAGGAAACCATAACTCTGTGGTGCTGAAATGCTTTCAAGCTCTATGCCAGGGGTCTTCAAACTTGGCCCTTTTATGACTTGTGGACTTCAACTCCCAGAATTCCTCAGTCGGCCATTTTGATGAAACTGCGGGCTTGGATCCAGACCAGACGTCTTCAAACCTGGCCCTTTTATGACTCGTGGACTTCAACTCCCAGAATTCCTCAGCCAGCATGGCTCAGCTTGGAAACTCCCTTTCCCCTCAGCATGGCTGGCTCAGGAATTCTGGGAGTTGAAGTCCACGAGTCATAAAAGAGCCAAGGTTGCCTACCTCTGGCCTAGGCCTAGGCCGCTTTATGACTCATGGACTTCAACTCCCAGAATTCCTGAGCCAGCATGGCTCAGCTTGGAAACCTCTCCCTTTCCCCTCAGCATGGCTGGCTCAGGAATTCTGGGAGTTGAAGTCCACAAGTCATAAAAGAGCCAAGGTTGCCTACCTCTGGCCTAGGCCTAGGCCCCTTCATGACTCGTGGACTTCAACTCCCAGAATTCCTGAGCCAGCATGACTCAGCTTGGAAACCTCTCTCTTTCCTCTCAGCATGGCTGGCTCAGGAATTCTGGGAGTTGAAGTCCACGAGTCATAAAAGAGCCAAGGTGGCCTACCCCTGACCTATACTATTCCAAACAAGTAGCTGTCTGGAATGGCAGAGGGCAGAGGTCACCAATCTTTCTCGGTTGCAGACAGGAGAGAAAGGGAGGAAGAAGTATTTTACACGTGCGCATGTGTGCGCGTGCGTTCATGGGGCCACGAGCACACGTGACGCAAATGGGGCAGGGCTAGCGCTTGCATGATACTCAGTAGCCCTGCCCCGTTCTTGCACGGCACAGCGCTGTACGTTTTTCCGCCCCGCAGTGTGCCGTCGGCATCCTGTTTTCACACCAAGGCGCGGCTGCGTCGTTTTCACATTCCAAGGCGTGGCAATGTCCCGTTTTCACACCCCGAGGCGCGTCGTCTCATTTTCACACCGCAAGGCGCGGTGGCAGCCCATTTTCGTGCCCCATGATTGTGGTGCTACCGCGAGTGTGTGTGTGTGCACGCACACATGCAGGCACTGGCCAGCTTGTCCCGTGGCCAGCAGGCCATGGCCCACTACCGGGCCACTTGCCCACAGGTTGGGGACCCCTGGTGTAGGGTCTTCTTAAAAGTTCTTCTTCAAAGCCTCCATTGATGAAGCACCCACAACTTCTAAAGCAGCGGTTCTCAACCTATGGGTCGCGACCCCATTTGGGGTCGATCGACCATTTCATGGGGGTCGCCAAGCAAGGCTGTCCGCCATTTTTTTTGTCCGCCATTTTTTTTGTCCACCATTTTTTCCCCCTTTTCCGGTGGGTGCCTTACCTCCCTTGGGCTGGGCCAGCTGGTGGTCGGCCTGCTCCGTCTCTGCCGCTTGCCAGCTACGCCTCGGCCGGCGCAGGGGGCGGAACCACGCATGCGCGGCGCTCCCGGGCAGGGAAAGTCCTCAACTTACGACCAGTTCGGTAGTCCTCGACTTACGACCGGTTTAGTCCTCGACTTACGACCGGTTTAGTCCTCGACTTACGACCGGTTGGGGGTCGCGGCATTAAAAAGGTTGAGAACCACTGTTCTAAAGGAAAGCTGTTTCCCAGGTTAATTATTCTGTCAGGAAATTTCTTAATTCCAGGTTGCTTTTCTCAGTTCTCAACTGGAATTTTGACTACATTGTCCTGGCCTCCATCTTGACTTTTTTGATCGTGCCTGTGGACCTGCCTGGTCTTTCATGGAGTAACCTTGAGGGGGGTGATGTTGGGGTGGAGAGCTCCCTTCCCTCTTAGCCCATGGCTTGTAGCATCGCTCAGAATGCCAGTGGCTGTTAACGGTGGTTCTTCTTTGGCCTTTTGGGTTTGTTGTTTGCTCAGGCCGTGGAGCAGCGGATTCATACCGAGCAACGGATGATGGACGAGAAAATAGTCCTGGAGCTGGATCAGAAAGTGGTGGACCAGCAGAGCACCCTGGAGAAAGCTGGCGTCTCTGGCTTCTACATCACCACCAGCCCCCAGGTCTGTTCAGGCCGGAAGCCTTCCTTGCCCAAAGCTGAGTGCCGACAAGAAGGGTGGCTGTGGATCCCCTGCCCTGGGGGGAAGCCGCCCACCCTGGAGGGTCTAGCAGGGAGGGAGAGATGCAAGAGACCATCTCCAGATCACCAGGACAGAGACCTGCATGCTGCTTGAGCAGGGAGCTGGACTAGAAGACCTCCAAGGTCCCTTCCAGCTATTCCATTCTATTCTATTCTATTCTATTCTATTCTATTCTATTCTATATTGTATTCTATTTTCTACTCTATTCTCTACTCTATTCTATATTCTATTCTATTCTTTTCTATATTCTATTTTCTATATTCTATTTTCTATATTCTATATTCTATTTTCTATTCTATTTTCTATATTCTATTCTATTTTCTATTTTCTATTCTATTCTATTTTCTATATTCTATTCTTTTCTATATTCTATTTTCTATTCTATTTTCTATTCTATTCTATTTTCTATATTCTATTCTATATTCATTCTATTCTCTATTCTATTTTCTATTCTATTCTATATTCTATTCTATTCTATATTCTATTCTATTCTATATTCTATTCTATTCTATATTCTATTCTATTCTATATTCTATTCTATTCTATATTCTATTTTCTATTCTATTCTATTATCAGCTCCTGCCTAGGGTGGAAGAGAGAAGGGGAAAGGGAGGCCCCCTCCCCTACAAAAGGGCTGTGAGCCATAGAAAGGGATGCAGTAGCAACTGGCCATAGCCAGGGGCCATGGAGAAGGTCTGGTCATTTATTTATTTAGCGTATGGCATCTGCAGAGGTCACCCAATCACTGATACACAATGATATCTGGTCCTCAGGCCCCAAGGCTCCCCGGGAACATGGAGCAGGGCCAGGCTGGTGCAAGGAGGAAAGTGCTGGATGAGAAGGGGGCAGGTTGAGAAACACGGAGTTAATCAGCTGCCCTCCAGCCTGCCTTAGTTCTTGGTGCCTTTTAACCACTCTCTCTGTCTCTCTGTCTCTCTGTCTCTCTCTCTCTGTCTTGTCTCTCTGTTTCTGTCTGTTTTTTTTCTCTCTCTGCGTGTGTCTCTGTCTCTCTGTCTCTCTCTGTCTCTGTCTCTCTCTCTGTCTTGTCTCTCTGTTTCTATCTGTCTCTGTTTCTCTCTGTGTGTGTGTCTCTGTCTCTCTGTCTCTCTGTTTCTGTCTCTCTCTCTCTGTTTCTGTCTGTCTCTCTCTGTCTTGTCTCTCTGTTTCTATCTGTCTCTGTTTCTCTCTCTGTGTGTGTCTCTGTCTCTCTGTTTCTGTCTGTCTCTCTCTGTCTCTGTCTCTCTCTGTGTTTCTCTCTCTCTCTCACTGTCTCTCTCTCTTTCTGTCTCTGTCTCTGTCTCTCTGTGTCTCTGTCTCTCTCTGTCTTGTCTCTCTGTTTCTGTCTGTTTCTCTTTCTGTGTGTGTGTGTCTCTCTCTGTCTCTCTGTTTCTGTCTGTCTCTGTCTTGTCTCTCTGTTTCTGTCTGTTTCTCTCTCTCTCTCTCTCTCTCTCTCTCTCTCTCTGTGTGTGTGTGTGTGTGTGTGTGTGTGTGTCTGTCTCTCTCTGTCTCTGTCTCTCTCTCTGTCAGCCCAGATAAAGAGGACTGCCGTGAGCACTAATGCCACTTTTATTGTAAAGGGATAGTAACAGATTCTTGCAACTTCTGAGAGTGGTCCTCTCGTCCTTCTTCTTTATTCTCCTGAAAACTAGGCAGAGTCCTTTCTGAGACACTTTCCCCCCCCCCTCCTCCTCCTCCTCCTCCTCCTCCTCCTCCTCCTCCTCCTCCTCCTCCTCCTCCTTTAGAGACAGATTGCATTTATCAGACAGTTGTCTAGGCTGTGGCTCTTCCCAAGGTCGTTCCCACCTACCATTAAGCAACCTGGAATTAAGGAGAAACCTCCTGACAGTGAGGACAATTAGCCAGTGGAACAGCTTTGCCTCCAGAAGTTGTGGGCGCTCCATCACTGGAGGTTTTTAAGGAGAGACTGGACAGCCACTTGTCTGAGATGGTATAGGGTCTCCTGCTTGAGCAGGGGGCTGGACTAGAAGACCTCCA